TGTAATCTCATTTTTTATAAAGGGAAACTTTCAATCCTTTTAATATTTTATTTTAAAATGTTTTAAAAATAGTCTAAACCTCTATAATCTAGATCTTAATTTTTTATTTTTAACTATGAAATTATTAATGAGCTTTCTGTCCTCCAAGAGTCATTTAACTTAAAATCCAAGAATGCCATAACCTTTCTGGAAGTGTTTCTAATTGATTAGCAATTATAAGTAATTCAATTCAATTAGCTCTTTTTTATTTTTACTGAAGTTGTTACTGTAGTAATTATTTCCCAAGTACTGAACTTCAAGCATCTAAATATATTTCTTCTATTTGTCTAAATAATGCCTCCTTGAATTAAAACAATAATTCTTTATTTCAATACTTAATCTTTTCCTTACTCACAAAAATGTCAATAAACAACTCTTTTGGTAACTTTCCAACCTCCAATACACATTCACATTATTTTCAGAGAAAAACAATCATTCCATGATTGCAAGTAAAAATAGTGTAACAGGGATGTGATTGAGCATAATTGGTACTATTATCTTTTCCAATATTGTAAGACTGATAGTGGTAATTCTAGCCATATACTTCAGGAATCCTGGAATTGACTGTTTTCTTTTTTTGTACACCATTGGAGTACTGACCCAGCATTTGGGCCTAGAAATCCAGCCAGTGTTCTAACTTTCTAAATGACTAAATGGGGTAGCACGGTCTCATCTAGCTGCTTAGGAACAAAGCTTCAATGGAACTGTTAGTCCAAGAAGCCTCTAAAATAGCCCTGGGACAAAAGCTTCCAGTTCTCACTTCACATCAAGTGAAGGCCTTTGCTGGAGCTCAAGGAATATTTGTGTATGACTGGAGAAAGGCTCATCCTTATTGGTTATTGAAAATACAGACATCACTCTTCAATCATGCAAAGTGCTAAACCCAGAACCCTCCTCCCCACTAACAATGGGTACACCATGACTAAACCATTGCCCCAAATTATGCCAGCTTTCCTGATCTGGTGAAGGAGCTGTTGATAGAGACAGAGAGCACATGGTTCAGTGATGGTAGCCTTTTTCTAAAGGGTGGCATTAGGAGAGTTTAATTCTAAACTCCAGTTAGAACTGGTCATTCTAACCCATAGTCAGTATACCCAGATCATAAATGTGAGAGGACTTCCTTCTGGAACTTCAACTCAAAAGGCAGAAATTATCGCCTCACTGGGCTTCTTCAATTTATCCAAGGCAAGAATGTCTACACCACACACACACACACACACACACACACACACACACATACACACACACACTCACTCACACACTGACTCTTCGTATACCTTTCTGGTCTTACATACAAGTGCTGCCATTTGGAAATAAAGGGGACTTTGACTATTTGTCAGTCCCTAATTAAACATGGACCAGACATCTTTAACCACCTAGAGGTAGTGAATCTTCAGAGTGAGGTAGTTATCTGTTCATTTCTGGGGACTTTAAGCTTCCTTGGACCAACTTTCCCAGGCTAATTCAAAGGCATATGCCATTGCTAAATAGGCTTCCCTCCAAAATAACTCCACTCCATCAATAACACTCTGCATGGTCTAATTTCACAATCTTACCTTGGAACCATGGTAACCTAAAGAGGACCTTCAATTGATTCATGATGTATGAGGAATCTCAAAAGGCCAATGATGGTATATAGAAATCCAGTTATTTGTACTACAATGGATACAGTGGAAAGTCATCAAGTCCCTACCCAATGCCTTCCACCTAAGACAGGATGCCATCTGCTCTTGCACATAGGCTTTTGGAAAGGCCTAGAGTCCACAACATTGTAATCCAGGTTTGTAAGGGCTTCCCCTTCTGTGATGTTCACAATCAACCTCCATTGCCTGAATCAATACAATGACAAGGAAGATTGGCAAGTAGATTTCATGCTCATGCCTCTGTGCAGGGGGTAGACACCCTTCTTGATATTCACAGAAAACTTTCTGAGGTGGACAGAGGCCTTCCTTACCAGGACCCTGACAAGGTCTGGAGGCAATAAAAATCCTTTCAAAGGAAGTATCCCTCTCGACTACCTTGGTCCATCCAGAGTGACAATAAGCTCACCTTAACATTCCAACTTACACAGCAAGTTGTAAAGACTCTGGGAATTAAATACCATCTCTGTGCTGCCTGGCGACCCAGTCCAACTAAAAGTGGAGTGAAACAACCAAACCCTCAAGTAGACTTTAGCCAAGGAGTGACTGTCCCTTCTCCTAACTGCCTTAATGAGGCACCGAGAAAACTTTAAATCCAAACTTTGTCTCAGCCCACATGAAATGCTTTATGGGATATCTGATATCTGATATCTGACCTGTTTACTGACACAGAGACTTTCCAACTCCTATAGCATGTCACCCACCCGGGAACATTTCAACGAGTCACCTAGAAATATGGAAAAAGATTCTTCCACTCCCAGAAACTAACATTTGTCAGCCCTGTGTCTGCTCCAGTGATTAGGATCTAGTCAAGGCCTGGAGGAAGGGTGAGTCCCAGGACCCTCACTTCCAAATGGAAAGATCCTAACACAACTCTTTTAACCACACCTCTGCCATCAAGGTATGGGGGATAGATAGTTCAATTCATTTCCCCAGGGTAGAACCCAAGCCACCTGAAGCACCAGAAAATGAAAAAAAGAGACTACAATCCCCATATACAGTAGTTCCGAACCAATGAATGGCCTCCAGTTTCTTTTTGGTAAAGAAAAACAACTCACTATCCTGCTAAATCAGATAAGCAAAGTGATTTTCTCCGTCTAGATGGAAAGAGAAAATTAGTCTCCATCCTGGGAGGAGAGTTTCTCCTTGTATATCTTATGTGGATAGTTGTGCTACTCTCTTGCTTGCCATAGATAACACTGTGGTGTCACTTTTGAGATTTTTGCCCCCAGTTACAGTATGATTTAAAAAAAAAATATTTTGTTCTTCTATAGCCTTGGATTCTCTTTGGGAACTCAAAGATTGCCCCCAAAGACTATGAACAGTAATGATGTTTTAAATCTAACCCATCTCTTCTTAAATTCTAATTCCAATTTGACCAAGGTCTTTCGTGTGTATCTTTCCCTATCTTCCAGCTGGTGTACTGCTGTGCTCATCCCAGCCTGACTCTGGGCTACCAGAAGGATGACTCCCCACCCTAAAACATAATCATGTGATACTTGAGCAGCTGGAAAAAAACATGAGCATGTACTTATCCTAGACAAGTCTTATAATTTATAAACCAAAAGCTATCATAAGATATAAGATGGGGATATAAGATGGATTGGTAATTCAAGTGATTTAAACAAGGTCAGTTTTTCTCTATTTGTTAAATCAAGTAGAGGGGTGATGATGATAGATGGATGAACTTTTACAGAGACAGGCAACTGAGAAATGGTGTTGGTGGAGCTGTGTGGATAGGGAGGTGATTTAACTTAGGCTCCTCATCTTCTTATTTTGTAGAGGGTGAAGACTTAAGGATTACCTTTCAAGAAAGGGTATTGGTATCTGAATAACAGTTTCAATGTCCTTTAACTCCTTTTGGAGAGGTAAATTTTTCTAGTATGTTTTTATAAAGAGAGAAATAGTTTAGTCAACAATACATTATTTAGAAAATGTATTCAGTTTGTTCATTATACCATATTTAATATATTTATTGATGAACGATCAGGCTATAGCAAAATATACAATTGTGCCATCCTTGAATATTTTCCTAAAATAAAAATGCCAAAACATTGTGTTGAAATATTCTCAGTATTTCACATGATTTCAAATGTAAAGACTATGTTTTAAAAAAGAAAATATCTACAATTAATTATTGTCTAAAATCATAGTAAATCTTGAAAATAAGAAAATCTTATGGAGGTGAAAAGTAATTATCACCAAGCAACAAAACTCAAGAACTAAGAGGAAAATTTAACTTTCAAGGACTAGTTTAACTATAAGAGGGCAACAGCAAGTTACACTTTAGGAAAATAGAACTATTTTGATGGATTTGAGAATACATAAAAGATATCTAAGAATATATTATAGAAAGAAAATTAAAAAGCCTGATAGAGGAGAACCAGGTGTGGTGGTACACACCTGTAATCCCAACACTTGGGAGGCTGAGGCAGAAGGCTCGCTGTGAGTTCGAGACCAGCCTGGGCTACATAGTGAGTTCCAGGTCAGTCTCAACTATACTCTGTGACCCTGTCTCAAAATACCAAAAAGCCTGATAGAGGAAAGGAATGATTTACAAGACCAATAAAAGTAAATCATTATACTGATAAAATACATAATTGTGAATTTGATGTAATCATAATCAGAATAATTTAATTTAATATATTTAAAAAGCAACTTCAAATTAAAGTTTTATACATTGATAATATAGAAGTTAACAAAGAGATAGCTGAAAAGAAAATTAAGGTAAGATTTTAGTATATACTAAAGTATGAATACATAGTATTTTTGTTAAAAGGAAAAGCCTTAGAAGTATATATGTCACACAGTATAATAAAGTAAAAAAATGATAATCAAAGAACAGAAATCAATGTTAACAGAAGGAAAAGAAGCAAAACAAAGGAAGCACTAAGGAAGTATATTAACTACAGAATACAGACTGATACTTTTAAAGTAAGTCCACACAAATCAGAGCTAACAAATGTGGATGACCAACTCCCTTAAAGAGCAGAGACTCTTTTTGGATTATGAAGAAAAATCTTGTCAATAATTTCAAATAAATCAGCTAGCACTTATAAAAATATGTACATATATGTCCTTTCATATTCAGAGACTCATTTTGGACTAAAAAGTCTTATAAATATAGACTACAGGTCTCTCATTGAATGTGGATAAATTTTTGGGAATACAGAAGTTGGAGAAGATAGGTATAATCAACTGCTTCAAAACAAAGGTTTTGCTGCAAAGCAAAGGAGCGATACTATGAGTTGGAAAAAGTGGGGACATAAGCTGTGCTGCTGCGGCCTCTGCTTCTTCCTCTTCCCCTCCCCTTTTCCCTCCCCTTCCCCCTCCTCCCCTTTCTTTCTTTCTTTTTCTTTCTTTCTTTCTTTCTTTCTTTCTTTCTTTCTTTCTTTCTTTCTTTCTTTTTCTTTCTGCTATTTTTTCTCCTCCTCCTCCTTCTTAGAGAAGAAAGAACTGCAGGATTGTGTGCTTATGAAAATAACCACACAAGAAGTGAAAATATTGGCAGTGAAGGAAAAACCATGGAGTTCTTGCAACAATATTTTACATGGACAATAGGGCTTGCCCACAGCTTATAAATTAAAGGACAACATTTTCATATAACCATCAAATCAAGAAAATAATCTTTGCAAGAGATAATTATTGAGAAAACCTTAGAGATAAAATAAATGGGTGAAATACTGAGTTAATGTGAACCCATCAGTGTCGTAATTCATGATGGTACATGAACAAACATGGAAAAATATTGATAAATAAGTATAGATATTCACAAGCTTTAAAGGCAAATTTATCACTAATCATCAGATCTAAAAGCAAATTTTCAGCACTAGTTACTCTTTGTGTGTGAAAAATATGAAGGCTTTTAGAAAATGTTACACTCTTCTAGGCCATTTGAAGATTATTACCATGGAGATGCATCATCACTTGAGATATACTAGAAAAAAATAACCTTTAAAGGAACATATTATGATACACTTTTCCAATGGAATATAAAGATTCAATTACACAGATGAATCTATACATACTGGCAAACAAAGATGTTTTAATATATTACATGAAAAATTGCAGTTGCAGACACATGTATTAAATTTTGATATCATAGTTTTGGATAAAAGGTTGAATTTGAGAAAGGAAAAGAGACAACAGTTGGCCTTTCAAAAACCTTCAACATGAATTACTCAGATAATTATCATATTCTTAATGAATATAGTCTAATAACCAATAACAATTCTAAAAGCCAGGTTTCCGAGAAATATTTGAATTACAATATAAGGATATATATAACTGGGGAAGATAAAAAACTTTTCCTTTGATGATAGATAATGTCACAGAGCCTCCATTAATTTACATCAATTTGATCACTCATAGTTACACTGATTACTGACCATTGAGGAAAGAATATCTACTTTCATTTAAAATTTCTAAAGAGATGAGGACAGTAAGTCTTATGTTACCTGTCTGAATTGAGTCCCTGTGGAATATTTGACATAACCTTGATTCCTTATATTTGAATTATGAGAATAGCTTTGATCATTAATTGGGTCATCATATGTCTTCAAATTCCATTAGTTATTTGAATAATTAAACTGTCTTAGAGTCTTATTTTTCCTAGAATAAAAGACATGGTCAATGTAATACTAAGCCTTCCCTCTTTCTTACATGCTGTTTAAGGCAAATAATTAGAATACGTATGTATGTATGTATGTATGTATGTATATGACTATAACACTCAATCAGTTTATGTAAACTAAGAAATTATGTATTTAGTTATTTGTATTGTAAGAAAGGGAGGAAATAGAGGCAATAGTTCTCTTAAAGTTTAAAATCAAATCTTTTCTTGAAAATTGCCCTCCATGTTCCTGGGAATCACTGAACCACATGTCTAATCATAAGAGAAGGAAAAAAACCCTGTACATTTTGAGAATAATTGAAGTTTTAAACCTGGTATAGCAAAAATGCCAAGAACCAGAAGAACTAACATAGAGGAATAAACTTCCAGGTTATAAGTCAATAGGTTGTGAGTTTCTACCATATTTCATGAAATCATTTTGCTATTCATTGTGACTTGACTTTAGTTCTTCAAAATGGAACCAGTGCCTTCATTATCCTCAGCCTCTCATGATGTTGCACCTTCACAAGATAACTGAGAAGACTGGCAATGCTCTCAAGAGGCTAGGATGAAGAAGACCAAATGGTAACATTGGGAAAGGCAAAATTTCTATCTTATGGGCAATTTTTCATTATTAATTTGTTTCTCAGAATCACAATCCATAAAAGAGTAATACTATGTTGTAGAAAAATTTCATTTAAATATGTTTATAATTGGATTAAAGAAAGAAGCTTTTGAAATTGTTCTTGTGAATCTCTTCTATAGTATGATCTTAGGGTTTAATAGCATAAGCTTTAGTTCTTGTAAAAAGTTGAATAAAATGTCACAGAAGGAAATATCCATAAAAATTTTGCACTACAAAAAGCAGTCAAATCATTTACCAGTTCCAATCATAAAAGTTTTTCACAGTCACAATTAGTATCTACTTGGATACAAATAAAGTAGGAAAACAACACATACACATTACCCAAAACTCTTTCCTCTGGAAAATATTCATAATCCAGCAAAAGTTTACTCTTTTAATCTTAAATTATAGGTTTTTATTAACAGAAAATCATTTCTCAAATAAGAATTATTGAGCGATTAGAAATTATTTTTTAAATGAATACTTCATTATTAACCATTCATTTTTTTTCTTTTGAAAACTCTTGAGAAGACAATTTGGTTTGTGGTAGATGGTCAATTAAATCATTTTAGTGTTCTAACGTAGCTCAGTCAGATTATATTTTGCCTTCACAATGCTCTGATGTTTTGTTTTTTAGGTGGCTATATTTTCTTTTAAATCACAGGTACTTATTTTTAGCCTCATTTCCCCCTATGGCTCCTGCATCTATGCAGTGGGTGGAACTGGCTCTCTATCAGTTCTAAGCCTTTAATGAGAGGGATCATAGACTGAAAGAACATAGCCTAGAATGCCAAAGGCAGTGTGGGGGAGACAGAAGGTGAGGGAAAATCCTGCTGCTGGCCTAGTACTTTGCCTTAAGAATGTAGCATGATTATTCTTCCTCTAGGGCTTAAAAGAGAAGTTAGAAAATCTGATAACCTGTTGTCCTTTATTGTCTTGACTGACCCTCATGCACAGAATATCGTAGACCAAAATAAAATACTACTTATATCAGATAATACAGAATAAATGAATGAATGAAATAGAATATTAATACAATAAAAGAGAAAATGCATTTGTAAAAATTGTATTAACCACATTTTTTCCAAATGTTCTTTGAAATATAATTGGTAGCAAGATTAACCTAGGACTTATTTCTTTGGCTAGTCACATGAGAAAAAAAATTATTAATTACAGAATTTTACTTACAAAGTCATTTGAATCCAGTTTTCTTCTGTATTTATGGTGTCTTAAATATGACTAACTATATTGTTGATCTATGGGTTTGAAGACTTAAACTAAACTAGTCTAATAGGAAAAGTAGAAAGAAGCAACTAATGAAAGTTTCCCTTTTTGTATCTTTCTTTCCAAAATTTTATTATTGACAATTTTATAAAAAAATGTGAGGTTTTCTATTTTCAGTTCTGTCATGAAGAGCTTCAAGATGTTACATCCTACAAGAAGAAAAATATGGCTAAACTGAAAATCAAGGACTTGTCTTGGACGTGCCAGAGAAAGGAATTTCCAAAGGCAAATTGAGCTAAGGTGTGTTTACCTGAGCAAAAGCTATGGGAACCATAAAATAGTAAGCACACTGAAGCAGTGATTTTGATTAATTGCTGGAGCCTGAATTGCTAGCCCAAGAGTGACAAAATCCTGAAAGGGATGTGCAGACTTCAGGTGCCCAAACAACTTCCTTGATTTTCCTCTAGGATGTTTATCAGGCTTTCACGGTAAAAATCCAAAAGATATTATCTGGAGGATCAGGTGAGGGTAGAGAAAGAGTAACTACGTATTATGAAATTGGCACAGATCATTCTTCTTAACAAAGAACTCTTTTCCAGAGGGAAAGATTTTACTAGAGTTTTGTCCCAAAGCAGTGGGGAGCAGCACTGCTCTACCCTCCTCAGCCTTCTTGTCCTAAGGGAGGAGAAAGCTGAATAAGAATTACACATGTAAATGTCATTGGCTAGAGACGAGTCAATATGAGACTGATATATATTTAGTCAGAATACTAGAATGCTTGCCTCTCAGACATTTTACTACTACACCAAAAGATTTCCAGTGTAATAGAGAGTCACAGAGAGAAGAGCTGCAAGACACAGACATTTTTCTAGGAGTTCTTAGTGAAGTTCAAAATCAGAATAGTCAATGAGACAAGAACATAGGGGGAAATGCTAAAAAAAAGAAAAAAAACCTTTGTAATCTTTAGCTACTGTAAATATTAACTTTCCAATCCTAGGTGGATTAATATAAATCTTCATAGATTTATGAAGCTCATTTACTTCCATTGATATCAAAGAAAAGAAAGTCTGGTTTTTGATAAAAAGATACAAAAACACACCAAAGTAAAAACAAAAAAGACAATTTCTGTAAAGACAAAACAGGCATTGGAATGAAATAGAGATATGGGTGGTAATGTCATTGAGATGACCAAATAGAAGTTACCAGCTTTTACCACACAGCAGAAACTGAAAAGTAGATGGCCATCCACAGACCAGACTTTCCCAGAGAGGTCCTACTGGGTAATCTGCAGGAATACAATGCAGCAAATGTAGAGACTATCCACAAAGAAAGAATTAGATAATCATTTGAGAGTAAGAGCCCAGTTCTGGTAAGATTGGCATAATAAATGCTAGGAAATAGCTGAGAACAAAGAGGAAAGGAAGAAACTACCTGTATCAGCCATGCCGTGGGAACCACCTTGGTCCATAGTGGCCCACTCCACATAGGACAGTGGCATCTCTTCCCCCTGAGAAAGCAGCCAATAGCCGTGTCCACCAGGAAACCCCAGAGAGGGAGATGTGGCTGCCCTCCCCTCCCTTGTCTCAAGAAGCAGTGCCTATTGAGCCATTGTAGGAAAGAAAACATCACCTCTTCCAATTTATAGCCTTCTTTGAACCCAGACTCATGGCCACCCTTTAAGCGCTGTGCTCTAGGCACTGGCTATATAGCTGCACTGAGCCCTGGTACATCTCTAACACTGAAACCATCACTATTGTGAGTCAGATCCCATGTCTAGACTCAGAATCACATGCTTTTACTGCAGAAACCTGTTTCAGACGTCAGTTCAGCAGTAGGCCCTTCTGACTTCAGAATGACTCTAATTCTGTGGTCATATTTGTGGCTCCCTGGCTAGTTCATAGGCTCCTTACTCAGGTATTACCAAATGGGCAGTGGAGGATATCTTCGTCAGTCATCAATTACATTTATACCCTGGATCACAGAGAAGTAATCTTTACATGTGTGCCTAGGCAACAGGCCTATGGGTACCCTTTATCAGATACTGGTGCCTTTGCCACTGTAGCCATCCCGAAAGTCAGATCAAGGACCAATAGGACCCTCCTCACCACCATCAGGAAGGATTCTCTGAAGGGAGAAAAAGAGATTGCAAGGTACTTAACAATCTTTGCTACCAAATGATTCAAACAACCAACATCACCACTGTAAACATCCATGATGCTGCCACTGAGGCACACTGCTGCATTTAGTAGTATTGGTCTCAGCTGATAAAGATGCATAGAGACTACTCAGAAGTGACCTTAATGCTATAAGAACTGCTGTATTTCACCAAGCAAGTGTCTTGCTCCTTCCCCATCCCCCTGTAGTAAACTTTAGTGTAAATTAACAAGAAACATGAAAAACTCAGGAAACACAGCACCACCAAAAGAAAAAAAAAAGTTCCCCTATCTGTTAATGATACTAAAAAGTGAAGATCTATGAACAACCTGGACAAATTTAAAATAATAAGGAATCTTAGTAACTTCAAGAAAATGCAGAGAAACATTGCAATAATATCAGGAAAATAACAAATGAGAACTATAGCAAATAGGAAACAAATGTAACAAGTAGAAAATATAACAAATTGAAAATAACAAATGAGGATTTAACTGACAGATTATGAATTATGACTACATACAAAAACACCAAGAGTTTTTGGACTAGAACAATACAAGGAATGACATGAAAATACAATAGAAAATGTGAAAACAGAGCAATAGGAAAAATCTGTGAATTTGCAAGTAGTTTACTAGAAAATGTGCAGTCAAGGAAGAAAAAGAGAAAACAAACAAAAAAAACTGAAAAGATGAAACATCCAGGATTTATATAACAGTATAAAAAGAAAAAAAATTAAAAAGGAGTTCAAGAAGAAGGCGATAAAAAGACCTAACACTTGCCCTCGTTACCTTCTCATTACTGAGGCACAATACCTAACATCCAACACTCTGAGGTAGAAAGCTTTAATTTGGCCCACAATTTGTAGAGTTTTCAGTCTATTTAGAGAAACAGCTCATGGCATGGTGGCAGGAAGCAAAGTGATAGATCAAGGGAGAAGGGTGGAAATATATCTTCCCAAGCCATCCTCTTGATCCATTTCCTCCATACAGATTTTACCTCTCAACATCACATTTAGCTATGCTCCAGTCACACCCCCAAACCCCAACCTATGAGTGTATGAGGCTTTGTGTGTGGGCACCTAAATGTAAACCATAGAATACTTTATCTAAATAAATAGTAACAGAAAGATATAATTTGTGATATTAAAAGCAAGAGGTATTAAAGGAGTATAGTAAAAAATATAAAATTATTTCATGTGATGGATGTTACTAGCTTTAAATAACCTTTCACAGCTATGTTTTATCTAAGCTTTTCAGAAATGGCAAAACAAAATTATCTTGTAGGCACACAAAAAATGTAAAAAAGCAAGGAATCAAAGCACAAAATGTGAAAAATTCAACCAATCACAAAGACAGGAAAGTAAAGATCTAAAAACAACAACAACATCAAAAACCCTCCATAAAACAATAAAATGGTATTAGTATGCCCTTACCAATCAGAAATCACCTTTAATATGAATTGATTAAAATTTCCACCCAGAACTCAGAATGCCTGATTGGATAACAAATAGAAAAACAACAACAAACCCAACTAAGTTCTGCCTACAACAGATTCATCCCACTGTTAAGGACACAAATAGATTATAAGTGATAGGCTCGAAAAAAATACCCCATGTCAATGCAAACCAAAGTTAAGCAGGTGTAGCCATATTTTAATCAGATAAAACAGACAAGATAGGACTTTGTATAATGATACAAGCAGTTTAATTAAGATATAACTATAAATATATATTCATTTCAAATAGGGTCACCTAAGTATATAGGGAAAATAGGAATAGTTCTGAAGAAAGTGTATAATGATATAATGAAGTATAAAAATCAAGGAAAAGGAACTATCAGAAAACAAAAATACTATTACCAGCTGAAGAATGTTTTTGATAAGCTCAATAAGACATTAGACGTAGACAGGGAACAATAAGAGCTAGGAGATATATTAGTAGAAATTTCACAAACTAAACTCCAAAGAGAAAAAAATGAATAAAAAGGAAACAGAACAGAAATTGCAGCATAACTCTAAAAAATGCAATGTATAGAATACCAAGAGAAGAAAGATGAGAGAAAAAACAGAATATAAATGAGCTGTGGTTTATGCATAAAATGGAACACTACTCATCAATAAATGATAAACTCATAAGAAGTGAAATGGATAAATTTTGATAATGTTTCATTGACTGATTTCTATTCATATGAAATTCTAAACTATATGTCTAATTCTTATGAAATAAATCAGAATTGGGGTTCCCACTAGGAACCATTATGGCCATTGACCATAAAATGGAGCAAGGTAACTATCTGAAGTAATGGAAAACTTCCATACCTTGCTTGTGGCAAAAGCTATGTATTTATTTTAATTTGTGTGAACATATTGATGTTACAAGTACTAAATATTACATTTAAATATATAAAACAGGCCAGGGATTTGGCTCAGTGCTTCCACCACCTGCCTTGCAAGTGCAAGGGCCCAAATTCTATCCCTGGTAAAAAAAAAAAAAAATATATATATATATATATATATCATATTTCATTGCAAATAAGTGAATACAATATTATTTAAAGTAATCATGCTTTTGAAAACACATACAGAATAACTATACCATTAGTAAATTATATATGGCAGTGTTTACAAATAATATATTCTTATTAAAAATAACAATGAGAATAAGTCAATATTAGCAAATTGAAAAATAAAATTTAAATACAATCAGATATAAACCATGTCATCTGTAATCATGTAATCATTACAGTACACAATCATTAGTGTGTACTTTACTGTAATTGAAAAATCTTTTAGTGTACTAGGGATATAAGAATATTTTATTGATCTGATAAAGAATATCTACCTTTGAGCAAACACTATGTTTCACATGGAAAACTTTACAATGACAGATAATGACATATAGTACAATTTCACTGGAAATCCTTGTCAGTGTAGCACAGAAATAATGTCAATAATAATTAAGTAGCACAAATTGTCTTTCTTTCATAATATATAACTTACTTCCTCAAACATTCCTGAGAATCTATAAAAATTAATGTGTTAAATCAAGAAGAATATTAGTTATTAGCTTAGCATATAGGACACTACATGGTGCATACACATTGCAATAAGG